GACAAAACATGACTAAACGGGTACGCCAGCCCAGGGGCAAGGACTAGAAGGCAGGAGGGGACAGGAAAGCTGGTAATAGGGAACCCAGGGTCGAGAAGGGAGAGTGTTGACATGTCATGGGGTTGTTAACCAAGGCCATAAAACAATATATGTACTAACTGTTCTAACGAGAAGCTAGTTTGTTCCGTAAACTTTCATCTAAAGTTCAATTTTAAAAAAAAGAAAGAAACAGAGAGCTGTCTGGGGAAAGCATAATTTATTTGACTGACGTTGGGTTTGGTTTCACAATGAAGTCAGAGAAAGGCCCCTGGGAGCCAGGACTTCCCTGAGGGGATGGGCAGGGTCAGGGAGGGACCCAGATGATTCTGCCACACTCCCTACTGGGAGTTCAAGGGTTTATTTAGCATGCTTCTCATTGGCTCAAAGTATATAACCTGGCAGACCACTAAGAATTTGTTCTAAGAGGGGTACAGGTATGGGCCCATTTGCACAGGAAGTGGCTGGTTTGGAGACGTGTTCAGCAGCAAGAAGTGGTGCCACAGGTGACAGGTCTGCAGACAAGGGTGGGGCAGGAGGGCTGGCAGCCGCAAGAAGACTGACACAAGGGGGCCACACACGCAGGCTTGCAGCTCACAGGCACGCATACGGCGGGCTTGCAGCTCACGGGCACACAGCAGGCCAATCTGCAAGAGGAGGCCTGGCCACAGGCCATGGGGCAGCACAGGGACTGGCAACCACCAGAGCAGCTGCTGGGACCCCCACAGGGTGACTGACGGGAGCTGGCCACACTGCTCACAGATCGGCACAGCAGAGTCACGCAGGACACTGGGCGGCAGCAGGAGCTCCCACAGCCCAAGGGTGAGCAGCAGGCGGTGGGGACGCAGCACGGGGGTGGGCAGCAGGCTGACTGGCAGCCTGTGGAGGAGCAGGTGTGGCACATGGTGGGTGTGTGGCTGGAGCAGGTATCAGGGAGGAGGTGGGGGCAGGTCTGCAGGCTCCTTCTGCTGAACAGCCTTTATAACCTAGGCACACAGGTGTCCAGGCAACACAGAAGCACAAATATTGATTTCCTTGTTTGTGCTTCCTCTGGGCTGTCTCCCAGAACCTTATTTTCTGGTGTGGATTTTTCCACGTTGGCATTGGCTTCATGACTAATTGCATCTTCTTCAAACTCATTTCACATGGAAACTTGCCCATCTGTCTTCCTGGCTCTCTGCATTCTGCTTCATTCCTTAACATTTCACCTGTGTTACCTTTACATCATCCCCAAAACATGACTCTCCAGTTGTTCTTCTTGGTGTGACAATGGTCATCCAACAACCACGAATTGTATGCTTCTATTTGCCAGGAAGGGGTCACAAGAGATGTGAAGAAGACCTGTGGCTGGCTCACTTATCTTTGAGTTTCCTAGAGCTGAGAGCTGGAGTTGGGGAGCTGGCAGATACTGGGAGACTGTTTGTCCACAGGATAAGTGAAGATTGAAGGGTGTTGGTCATGGAATATTGCTTTTTTTAGATCCTTGTTTTGAGACAGACTCATAGTTAAAGAATCGACATAATATAAAGTAGAAGGACATCCTCTACCAAGGACAGGGATTAGGGTTGGGCTGAGCAGGTGACCAATGAGGTACATGTGGCCCCTATGCCACAGGATGTCACATCACCCCAGGGAGCTATGGCAGGACAGGCAAGAGTTCAATATGGAGAACAACATAACAGTTACAGAAATTGATAAATCGATGGGTGCCAGACTAGCCCTCCAGTCAGTTACACAAGGGAAAAAAATTTATCTCACATATGTTTTCAGATAGTGTTCAATAGGCAACACAAGATTTTTGCTCCAGAGAGAAGGGAAACTCCCAGGGTGAGCTCCACATTCACCCAGCTCAAGATCTTGGGTAAACTTCCTAGACACCGTGCGGTGAGCTGGAGTCTGAGAAGAACACAGTGGTCCTGCAGTGGTGAGGAGGAAGAGGTCAGAATTTGGCGCCCTTGAAGCACCTGAAATTTCAGGGGTGGAGCATCAGAAAGGCGGGAGCTATACATAGAACAGGGCCCATAAGTTTATGTGAGGGTTCCCTGTGACTCTATGGAAGAGGATGGGGCTGTTCATGCTCAGAGCAAGACCACTGAGGGCTTATCAGAGAGAATCTGCTACAAAATTGACAGTGGAACTCTGGTGGCATCCAGCTGAGACCCCATACATTCTGCACTGTAGGAAAAGCACCATACCCCAGGGTAAGACCTAATCTAGAATGCCCTACAACACCTAAAATAATCCATAACAAAAACTGCCTGAGAGACAGTTCGAAGTTGAGTCCCACCAAGTTATGGTGCTTAAGAAACACCTTGGACACTTTACAGATAAACCCTAACCAAGTGTCAAACCAAGCCTGCACAAGTTCAGGGGAATCAACCAGTAACTGCCTGCTAGAAGAAAATTCAAGACTTACGAGAAAATAACAGAAATTAGAGTCTTTGAAATGTGTTATCCACAATGTCAAATATACAATGAAAAAAATCATGAGACGTACACATATATAGCAAAATGATGTCACACTCAAGAGGGGAAAAACAGTCAATATAAACAAAATCTGAGATGACCCAGGTTGTCATGGATTGAATTGTGTCCCCCAAAAATATCTGTCAACTTGGCTGGGTCATGATTCCAGTATTGCGTGATTGTGTACCATTTTGCCATCTGATGTGATTTCCTTATGTGTTGTAAACTCTATCATTATGGTGTAATACGATGGATTAGCGGCAGTTATACAGATGAGGTCTACAGGATTAGATAGTTCTTAAGCCAATCTTTTTCGAGATATAAAAGAGAAAAGTAAGTAGAGACACATGGGAACCTCACACCACCAAGAAAGCAGCGCCGGGAGCAGAGCGCATCCTTTGGACCTGAGGTTCCTGCACTGAGATGCTCCCAGATCAAGGGAAGACTGACACATTGCAGGCCTTCTTCCAGAGCCAACATAGACAGAAAGCCTTCTCCTGGAGCTGATGCCCTGAATTTGGACTTGTAGCCTACTGGACTGTGAGAGAATAAACTTCTCTTTGTTAAAGCCATCCACTTGTGGTATTTCTGTTACAGCAGTACTAGATGCCTAAGACACACGTGTTGGACTTAGTAAGCCATATGCCCAACTCCTGCTGTCTCAGTACCTAAAGATTTACACCATCACAGGGCTTCTGCTCTCAAATGAGGATTTCCCTGAGAGGCATGAGCAGGGTCAGATAATTCTGCAGCTAAACCAAACAACTGAACTCCCTGTTAACCCCAGATAGTTCATTGAAGACTGGGCGTTGTCTGAAAACCAAAACAATACTCAAATGCAGTGCCCCCCTAAATCCCTCATCCATAACAGGGGGAGGAAGGGTCATGCTTTCAGTTAAAAAGAGGAATTTAATTTTGTGATCTGGAGACTAGGATAAAGCTACATTCTAAAAACTAACCACATGATGTCCGTCGTCTGAAATACTGAGCAATCGCTACTGCTAATAGCCAAAAGCAGCATTCCCACAGTCCTACTCAATCTATGAATCACTTCCAAGAGATTTCATCTTGAAGAGATGAAGATTCACAACATTCCTCAACAGTCCCACTCCTGGGTCTATACCCAGGAAAAATTCTTGTAAGCAGACACCAGGATATGTATTCAAGAATGTTAAAAGCAGCACCATCTGTAATAGAAAACTCTTGGAAACTACATACCTGCCATCTGTTTGAGAAGGGATAACCTAAAATAGTCACACAATGGGACACCACAGAGTATTCCCAATGAATGAATGACACCCACACAAAATCTACATGCATCTTAGCAATATTTCATCCAGGGCAGAAAGAAAGTCCCAAAAGATTGCATTCAAGATAATACTCTTTCAATAGCATTCAAACCAACTAAGTGAGAAACGGCTTTTCAGGAATTGTAGCGATGTGACTCAACTCTATTTTTTATATAGGAGACAGAATGATGAGCGTAGTATTTTCGAGATTGGTTATCCCAAGAAGTTGGGGTAAATTATTGACGGAAGAGTCTGGCTCCTGGCTTTAAGACCATATGTAATTTTTCAGGCCTGACCACAGGCAATCATACAGGCTGTACCTGGCCAGCCTCAGGGGAAAAGGTGCCTTCCCCACCAGATTTGTTGCACAGCCAATGCACTGCAGTCTCTACGGGAGTTGCAGTCAAAGACTCAGTCACCCCCAAACCAGCCATGCTCTGCTCTTTCTCATAGCTGCTTTCCTAGCCCAGGTGCCTCCATATGGGGGCCTCTTTAATGAGGGCCTTCAGCAGAGCCCTTCCTCGGGTGACACTGCTGAAGTCTCCTTATTAGGGGAAGGGAAGGGAGATTTGAAGATGCTTTCCCCCATTTTTACGCAGTACTCAGTGCTTTTCTGCCACTTTTCCACCCCTCACCTTCTGCCCTGCCTCTGGGTCTATAAAACTTCAGGAGCCTTGTGTTTGGGGCACTCTCTGCAGTGAGACATCCCCACATCTGTGCCAATCCTCCTGACTCTTGCATGGAACAGGGGGAGCCAGCGTGTCTTTGCAAGCTATCTCTTGCTTATACTATCACAGTAAGTGATTAAAGACTTGACTGTTCCTTTCATTTTAACTCCTTGTCTTAATTGGCTTCTTGGACACCTTGCAGCTCAGCTCAACGCTTCTCAGCTCAGCATCCGTGACACTGAAAATGTTTTAGATTCCATATTAGGCTTGGGTTCATGGGGATTTACTACATAATAGAATCGAGTAATTAATAATTCATCAATAAAAAATGAATCAGGCATGGACCAGCTATGGGAGTGTTTCAAGATCAAAACTAAATCAGTTCTGTAAACCGTAGGTCCCAACAAGTCTAAAGTTATCCCATTGGAAATAATGTTCCCTGTCATAGGAAATAGGACAGCTTAGGAAAAGATGCAGAAATTCATCCTCAACGCTATACGGTATTTTGACTTCAACTCCAGCTTTCCCTAGGTATGGAGGCAGGAATGGACAACAGAGAGAGAGGAAAAAAAAAAAAAAAACCTATGGCAAGTGAGGAGGAGAAGGTGTCTGAGTGCACCTGAGCCCACAGGATATTGAGAAGTAGTAAGGAGACTGACCTCTTTCCCCACCAAAGACCCTACACCTTCCCATGAGCCATTGCAAGAAGGGATGGTTGAAGAGGGGATTCACCTAACAGTGCCTTCATAACAACAACAGAGACACAGAAAACATGGAAATAAAGGAAGAGAAGAAACAGAGAGCTGCGTGGGGAAAGCATGATTTATTTGACGGATGTGGGGTTTGGTTTCCTGCTGGGGTCGAAGAAGGGCCTCTGGGAGCCAGGACTTCCCTGAGGGGATGCACAGAGTCAGGGAGGGATTCAGATGATTCTACCATATTCACTCCTGAGAGTTCAGGATTCATTGAGCATGCTTTTGATTGCCCAATGCAAACAACTTGGCAGACCACCAAGGATTTGTTCTAAGAGGTATAAAGGTACAGGCCCATTTGCACAGGAAGTGGCTAGTTTGGAAACATGCATTCAGAAGCAAGAAGGGGTACCACAGGTGACAGGTCTGCAGACAAGGGTGGGGCAAGAGGGCTGCAAGCAGCAAGAAGACTGGCAGGAAGGGGCCACACATACAGCAGGGTTGCAGCTCACGGGCACACACATGGAGGGCTTGCAGCTCACAGGCACACACACGGCGGGCTTGCAGCTCACAGGCACACACACGGCGGGCTTGCAGCTCACAGGCACACAGCAGGTCTCCTGGCAGGGGCTGGGCACACAGCAGGCCGAGCTGCAGGAGGAGGTCTGGCCATATGCCATGGGGCCTCACGGGGATTGGAAGCCACCAGAGCAGCTGCTGGGAGCCCCACAGCATGACTGGCAGGAGCTGGCCATGCCACACACAGGTCCGCACAGCGGAGTCACGCAGGACACTGGGCGGCAGCAGGAGCTCCCACAGCCCAAGGGTGAGCAACAGGCGGTGGGGACGCAGCACGGGGATGGGCAGCAGGCTGACTGGCAGCCCGTGGAGCAGAGGTGTGGCACGTGGTTGGTGTGTGGCTGGGACAGGTATCAGGGAGGAGGTGGGGGCAGGTCTGCAGGCTTCTGCTGAATGGCATTTATAGCCCTGGCACACGGGCGTCCAGGCAACACGGAAGCACAACTATTGTTTTCCTTGTTTGTGCTTCCTCTGGGCTGTCTCCCAGAACCTTATTTTCTGTTGTGGATTTTTCTATGTTGGCATTGGCTTCATGACTAATTGCATCTTCTTCAAACTCATTTCACATGGAAACTTGCCCATCTGTCTTCCTGGCTCTCTGCATTCTGCTTCGTTCCTTAACATTTCACCTGTGTTACCTTTATATCATCCCCAAAACATGAATCTCCTGTTGTTATTCTTGGTGTGACAATGGTCATCCAACAACCACGAATTGTCCACTTCTCTCATGGGCCAGGAAGGGTCCACAGTAGATGTGAGGGAGACCTCTGGATGGCTCCCTCTCCTCTGAGTTTCCTAGAACTGAGAGCTGGAGTTGGGGCGCTGGCACGTACATGCAAAAGGATAGGGAGACTGTCCACAGTGTAAGTGAAGACTGAAGGGTGTTGGTCTTGGAGAACTACTCTTTTTAGATCCTTGTCTTGAGACAGCCTCATGTTAGAGAATAGACATAATATAGAGTACCAGGACATCCTCTACCAGGGATAGGGACTAGGATTGGGCCAAACATGTAACCAAAGAAGTATGTCTGGCCCCTGTGCCACAGGAGGTCCCTTGTCCCCACCCCCAGGGAGCCATGGCAGGAGAGACAAGAATTCAATACGGAGAACCACATAACACTTGGAGAAATTGATAAAATGACCGGTGCTAGACTAGCCCTCCAGTCAATTATACAAGGAAAAAATTTACCTCACATATGTTTGCAGACAATGATCAACAAGCAACACAAGGCTTTCGTTGCAGACAGAAGGGAAACTCACAGGGTGAGCTCCACATTCATCCAGCTCTAGATCTGTGGTCAACTTCCTAAATACCATGTGGTGAGCTAGAGTCTGAGAAGAACACAGTGGTGCTGCTGGGGTGAGGAGGAAGAGGTCAGAGTTTGGGGCAGTTGAAGCACATGGGAGCTGACGGGTGAAGCATCAGAAAAGAGAGAGCTATAAATATAATAGATCCCATAAGTTTATGTGACGGTCCCCTGTGAATCTATGGAAGATGATGGGGCAGTACATGCCCAGAGCAAAACCACTGACAGTTATCAGAGAGAATCTGCCAAAAATTTGAGAGTGGAACTCCGGTGGCATCCACCTGAAACACTCTACATTCTGTACCTTAGCAGTAAGGACCACACATTAGGTAAGACCTACTCTAGGATGCCCTAGCAACACCTAAAATAATCCATAACAAAATCTGCCTGAGAGAAAATTTGAAGTTGAGTCTTACCAAGTTATGGAGCTTAAGAAACACCGTGGACACTCCATAAAACCACCCAAACCAAGAGTAAAATCAAGCCTGCAAAAGTTCAGGGGTATCAACCAGTAATTTACTGCCTGCTAGAAGAAAATTCAGAACTCACAAGAAAATAATAGAAACTAGAGTCTCTGAAATGTATTATGTACTATGTCAAATATACAATGAAAAATCCCTAGATATATGTACAAAGATATAGAAAAATGAGGCTAACGATCAAGGTGGGAAAGATGGTCAATATAAACAAAATCTGAGATGATTCAGGTGTTGGACTCAGTAAAACAAATGCCTGAACTCCTGCCACATCAGTACTTAAAGATTTACAAAATCACTGGATTTCTCCTCTCAAACTAGGACTTCCCTGTTAGGCAAGAACAGGGTGAGTGACGAATCCAGATAATTCTGCAGCTAAACCAAACAACTGAACTCCCTGTTAACCCCAGATAGTTCATTGAAGACTGGGCGTTGTCTGAAAACCAAAACAATACTCAAATGCAGTGCCCCCCCTAAATCCCTCATCCATAACAGGGGGAGGAGGGGTCATGCTTTCAGTTAAAAGAGGAATTAAATTTTGTGATATGGAGACTAGGATAAAGCTACAAGGCTAATAACTGACCTTATGATGTCAGTCTTCTGGAATAATCTGCACTTGTTACTGGTAATAGCCAAAGCCAGAATTTCCACAGTCCTCCTCAATTTATGAATCTCCTCCAAGCAGTTTCATCTTGTAGAGATGAACATTCACATGTCCTTGTTCTCAACTGTCCTACTCCTGGGTCTATATCAAGGAGAAACTCTTACAAGCTGACACTAGGAGATTATTCAAGAATGTTCAGAGCAGCACCATCTGTAACAGAAAACTCTTGGAAATTACATGCCTGCCCATCTGTTTGAGAATGGATAACCTAAAATAGTCACACAATGGGACACTGGAGAGTATTCACGATGGATGAACTACACCCACACAACATGTGGAGGAATCTTGGCAATATTTCATCCAGTGGAAAACCAAGTCCCAAAAGATTGCATTCAAGATAATATCCTTTCAACATCCTTCAAACCAACTCAATTAGAAAGTGTACTTTTCAGGAATTGTAGAGATGTGACTCAACTCTATTTTGTATGAAGGAAACAGAATGACGAGCATAGGATTTTGGAAACTGGATACCTCAAGAAGTTAGGGGTAAATTATTGACTAAAGATTCTGGCTCCTGGCTCTAAGACCCTGTGTAATTTTTCAGCCTGAACACAGACAATTACACAGGCTTCACCTGGCCAGCCTCAGGGGAATAGCTGCCTTCCGCACCAGATTTGTTGCACCGCCAATGCATTGCAGTCTCTGAGGGTAATTGCAGTCAAGGACTCAGCAACCCTTACACCAGCCATGCTCTGCTCTTCCCCACAGCTGCATTCTTAGCCCAGGTACCTCCATATGGGGGCCTCTTTAATGAGGACCTTCGGCAGAATCCTTCCTCAGCTGACTCTGATTAAGTCTCCCTATCAGGGGTAACAGAAGGAACTTGAAGATGCTTTCCCCCATTCTGCAGCAGTACTTGCTGCTTTTCCATCACCATTCCAACCCCTCACCTTCTCCTCTGCCTCTGGGTCTATAAAGCTGCAGGAACCTTTTGTTCAGAGCACCCTGTGCAGGAAGATGGCCCCACATCTGCGCAGATGCTAATGACTCTTGCCTGGACATAATTCCTGGGGAAATATGGAACAGGGAGAGCCAGCGTGCCTTTGCCAGGTATCGCCTGCTTATACTAACGCAGTAAGTGATTAAGGACTTGACTGTTACTTTCATTTTGCCTCCTTGTCTATACTGGCTTCCTGGACACCTTGAAGCTCTGCTCACCTCTCTCAACTCAGCTCAGCTTCCCTGACATTGAAATGTTTTAGATTCTATGTTAGGTGGTTGATTCATGGGGATTGACGATATTACTATAATCAACTAATTATTAATGATAAAAAATGAATCATGCATGGACCTGAAATGGGAGTGTATCAAGATCCAAACGAAACCAGTTCTGTAAACCTGAGGTCCCAAGAAGTCAAAAGTTGTCCCAGTGGCGATAATTCTCCATGTCATAGGAAATAGGACAGCTTAGGACGAGATGGAAAAATCCATCCTCAGGGCTATACCCCATTTTGCCTTCAACTCCAGCACTCACTAGCCATGGCAGCAAGAACAGACAACAAAGAGAAAAAGAGACTAAACTATGGCTAATGAGGAGGAGAATGTGTCTGAGTGCACCTGAGCCCACGGGGTCTTGAGAGGTAGTAAGCAGACTGGCCTCCTCCCCCACCAAGGAACCTCCACCTTCCCATGAGCCATTGCAAAAAGGGTTGGTTGAAGAGGGAATTCACCTTAAAGTGCCTTCATAACAACAATAGAGACGCAGAAAACATGGAAATTAAAAAGAAAGACAACAAACAGAGAACTGCGTGGGGAATGCATGATTTATTTGACTGACGTGGGGTTTGGTTTCTTGTTGGGGTCAGAAAAGGGCCTCTGGGAGCCCAGATTTCCCTGAGGGATGTGCAGGGTCAGGGTGGGATACAGATGATTCTACCACATTCTCTGCTGAGAGTTCAGGGGTTCATTAAGCATGCTTTTCATCGCCCCATTGCATACAACCTGGCAGATCAGCAAGGATTTGTTCTAAGAGGGGTACAGGTATGGGCCCATTTGCACAGGAAGTAGCTGGTTTGGAGACATGTGTTCAGCAGCAAGAAGGGTTGTCACAGGTGACAGGTCTGCAGACAAGGGTGGGGCAGGAGGGCTGGAAGCAGCAAGAAGACTGGCACAAGGGGGCCACACACACAGGCTTGCAGCTCACAGGCACACATACGGCGGGCTTGCAGCTCACGGGCACACACACAGCGGGCTTACAGCTCCCAGGAACACAGCAGGTCACCTGGCAGGGGCTGGGCACACAGCAGGCTGAGCTGCAGGAGGAGGCCTGGCCACAGGCCACAGGGCAGCACAGGGACTGGTAGCCACTGGAGCAGCTGCTGGCAGCCCCACAGGGTGACCGGCAGGAGCTGGCCACACCGCACACAGGCCGGCACAGCAGTCACCAATGACACTGGGCGGCAGCAGGAGCTCCCACTGCCCAAGGGTGAGCAGCAGGTGGTGGGGACGCAGCACAAGGGTGGGCAGCAGGCTGACTGGCAGCCCTTGGAGCAGCAGGTGTGGGACATGGTGGGTGTGTGGCTGGAGCAGGTATCAGGGAGGAGGTGGGGCAGATCGTCAGGCTCCTCCTGTTGGACGGCCTTTATACCCCTGGCACGCGGGCATCCAGGCAACACAGAAGCGCAACTATTGTTTTCCTTGTTTGTGCTTCCTCTGGGCTGTCTCCCAGAACCTAATTTTCTGGTGTGGATTAGCTTCATGACTAATTGCATCTTCTTGAAACTCATTTCACATGGAAATCTGCCCATCTGTCTTCCTGGCTCTCTGCATTCTGCCTCATTCCTTAACATTTCACCTGTGTTACCTTTACATCATCCCCAAAACATGAATCTCCAGTTGTTCTTCTTGGTGTGACAATGGTCATCAAACAACCATGATATGTACACTTCTCCCACGTGCCAGGAAGGGGCCACAGTGGACATGAAGAACTGTGGCTGGCTCACTTATCTTTGAGTTGCCTGGAGCTGACAGCTGGATTTGTAGAGCTGACAGATACACAGATTATGATAGGGACACTATTTGTCCATAAGATAAGTGAAAATAGAAGGGTGTTTGTCATGGAGAACTTGTTATCATGGTGACATTGAATCTTCATCTATAGAAATCCTCATAGTTAGACAGTCAGGATAAGATAAAGCACCAGAATGTACTGCAAAAGGCATCATTCTATCAAAGACAGGGACAGGATTAGGCTAAGTATGTGTGCAAGGAAGTGTGCAGGGACGCCGGGCCAAGTGATGGGTACCTCCCTGGTGGGCTACAGCAGGAAGCACAAGAGTTCGATACAGATAACATCACATTGACAGAAATTCATAGAATGACCTGTGCCATACTAGCCCTCTAGTCAAATATATAACTGAAAAAATTAGGCAGCATATGTTTTGAGGCAGTGGACAACAGACAGCACAAGACTGTGATTTCTGAGAGCAGGGAAACTTACCAGGTAAGCTCCACATTGCCCAGCTCTCTGTCTGGACTCAGCTTCCCAAATGCAATGCAAGGAGCTAGAGTCTGAGCAGAACACTATGGTCCTGCCCTGCTGGAGGAAGAGGTCAGTTTGGGGGAAATTGAAGCACCTGGAATCTGAGGATTGGGGCATCAGAAAGGAGGGATCTGTGCATACAGCTCGTCTCATAATTCTATGTGAAGTTTCCCTGTGAATCTACGGAAGAGGGCAGCGCTGTACATGTTCAGGGCAAGACCACTGGAGGCTTGTCAGAGAGAAGCTGCTACGAAGTTGAGTGTGGATCTCTCCTGGCATTCAGCTGAGACTGCATACAGTCTGTGCCTTAGGGGTAATGACCACACCCTAGAGTAAGACCTATGGTAGAATGCCCTATTTTTTTTTCTCCAGTTGCTGTTGAGTCAACTCCAACTAATGGTGACCCCATGTGTATCAGAGTAGAACTATGCTGCACAGAGTTTTCAATGGCTGATTTTTCAGAAGTAGATCATTAGGACTTTCTTCCAAGGTGCAAGGTAGACTCAAACCTCCAATCTTTTGGTTATCAACCACCTGTGTTAACCATTTTCACTACCCAGAGACTCTGTAGAATGCCCTGGAAAAGCATAAACTAATCTATTACAAGATCTGCAGTGGGGATAGTTTGGAAGTTTAGTCCCGCCAAGTTATAGAGCTTAGCAAACACCTTGGACATTCCACAGATACACCCTAATAAAATGTAAACCTAAGCCTGCATAAGTTCAGGGGGTCAGCCAGTAATTTGCCTGCTAGGACAAAAATCAGTAGTCAAAAGATATTAGAAACTGGAGTCTCTAAAATGCATTACTCACAATATTAAATTTACACTGAAAAATCACTAGACATACAAAGATACTGGCAGTCCTCAACTGACAACGTATTTGAGTTATGACAAACCACACTTACGACTGCCCTTTTTTTGATTTGTGCATTTTTATGTATGTATTAAAATATATCTGTAAGTTTATATATAATGTTTTCAACCCCAAAGAAAAATAAAGATCGCATTTATAAAGATACTGATAATAAAAGGCAATAATAATAAACACTAAAAAAAAA